AGCACCGCACCTATACCGACACCAGGGACTTTCCAATTTGTTGTGGGGGGCAAGCCATGGGTCAAAAGTGGCTAGTCCGTGCGGTTCCGGGGTGTCTATGAGCAGCCATCGTTCAGGACTGCCACGTTTTCCTGGGAGGTATGGCGGAGATAATCTAGCTATGGTCGTCTCAGTATGCCAAGGTGAATCTGGGGAATGTATCATGACCTACCTGAATATGTTCTAGAGGCCTTCCATGCACTTTCGAGAGCGAGGCGAGTCGGTGGGCTCACGGATGCCGCATTTTGATTTTTGATGTCGTGCGCTGACTGGCTAGACGGGGAAATTCATGGGGGTAAGTTAGTACGAGGGAAATGACGGCCAGAAAGAAAAAAATTAGAAAAAGCCAACCCGGCGTCGAATGTAACGAGGTACTCCCCATGAAACCGAGAGACCGTTGTAAGGGGCGTGTTACCAGTAGACCACCGCGCTTTATTGACGCACAGTCCAGGCGTGAAATGGGTAAGTGTGTAGATTGGAGGGGAGGGATGGGACGCACAATGCACCAGGTGCACGAGATTGCAGCAGGCAAGGGCGAACGCGCGAGGCAAGTAATTGTCAGAATATGATGCGGACTTGATAAAGAGGGGCCGGTCAAAAATTGGGCAGGAGACGAGCCGAGGGGGGTTACGCCTGGTGAAAGACCAAGTGTAACAATTCTTTAGAGATACACGGTGGGCTATATGAAGTTTGGTCAAAAATCCATTGGAGCCCCCTATGAGGCGCAAAACTGACAAGAGTAGAACGTAAGTCCCGCGCTGGACTTATGTCTTTGCCGCCGTATGCGCTGGCGATGTTTGGCTACCGGGTCGTGGATGCTTAGATGTTGTCGTCGTCGTCTCGAGCGGTGCGAATGAAGCCCAAAAATCGACGGATATCAGCTCCTGGGAACGTTCGCACGCACACGCATAGCTTTTCGGTGGATCAAATCACCGGGAACATGGAGAATGTTCCGATCACAACATACATCGAACGTGCCTCCCACGACAATTGGCGCTGATATCAAGGCCTACCGTCGGCAGCAGCAATCCGCGCCGGCACCCCATGCCGGTCCATCAACGACTCTGGCAGACGTCGATGTACCGAGCGACTTCCCAGAAATTAATACGGGGTGGTACGGGATGGGGGACCTGGATTTGGACGCAGACAAGGAGGATTTGGACGCAGTCACTGGTCGGCGCATACGCAAAGGTAAATTTGTGAAGCCATCGGTGAGTGAAATTACGCAGTGTTTGTACGATGCTGACGGTGGATTGAATGCAGCTCTATACGTTTTGCGGCGGGCGTGACGCGTATCTAAGAGAAATGCTGCGACGAGAGAGTTGCATGGATCCAAGCACAGATCCTGTGTGTCGCGTCTGCCGGAACGCCGAGGTCGCGTGCAATATCAGATGCCGCACCTGTTTTGGCGACGACCTTGTATGTGACGCGTGCTGCGTCGCGCGACACGCGCATAACCCGTTTCACCATGTCGCGGTATACATTCTCTGCGATGAGACAGTGATTAGCGGTCTGATTTTGTTGTTAGAAATGGAACGGGCGTTTCTTCGAGCGACATACCCTGAAGGAGCTGGGTTTGCGCATCCAGTTAGGCCACCCCGTCGGCGAGACGTGTCCTGAACCTCTGTGCGCCCACAGAGACTTCATCGTCCTCCATGACAACGGGATCCACAAGGTCAACCTGGATCTCTGCGACTGCGAGATGGCGGCGCTGGCAGGACCGCCAGAAATCCAAATGATGCGCGCGGGCCTTTTTCCGGCTACCGAGGACAAACCACGGACTTGCGCGACTTTCGAGTGCCTCAATACCTTTCTGGCCTCGACCCTGCAAGCAAAAACCACCATGTACGACTTCTACGCGATGCTCGAGAAATTGACAGATAACACGGGCAAAAAACTTCCGAAACGCTATCACGCGTTCTTGCTCATGTGCCGGAAGTACCGCCATTTGTTGATGCTGAAGCGGGGCGGACAGGGGCACGATCCAACCGGTGTGGAAGGGACGCAGGCGGGCGATCTGGCGGTGTTGTGTCCGTGCTGCCCGCACCCCGGCATAAACCTGCCAGAGGGATGGGAGAACACACCAGTGGAAGACCAGTAAGTGAGCGCTCAATCACGGCGTTACAGCGCGCTAAGCTTGAAAAACAGGTTCCTTTACATCCTGTTCCTTGCCTTAGACGCATGCTTCCGTCTGAAGCAGCGTTTGGTATCCAGCGAGGTCAAGGACCCCGCGCTGGGCATTGGTTGGTCGTACCTCGTGGAGAGCGCGCCTTACAGGGAATACCTGCGAGGATGCACCGATCAGAAAGAGGTGTGTTTATATTGGCGAGCGTGGGAGGGAGCTACTAATTGAGTCGATAGATGAATACTTGCAGCGGTCTGGCCGCCTTGGACCACGCGAACACGAAATTTTCGCGGGGATACAGCAGCACAGGCGTGGGTATGGGCGTCTGCGCGCGCCACGAGTTCGTGCAGGCGAATGGGGTCGGGGACTTGCAAAAAGGCGAACGGTGCGTTTACTTTCGGTCTAGGTACAAGCAACGGGCTAAATTTTGCGCAGATACGTCAATATGGACTACATATTTGCGTCCATTCTCCGACACAAAGACCACCGGCTCCTAAAAATCATCTCGTACGACATTGTATGCCAGTGGTGGAGGAACCTCAAGGCGCGCCTGAAGAAACTGCACCCGATCGTCCGGATCGTGGTCGCAATGCAGCTATGGTGCTTCGTTATCCCGAAGATGCACATCCACTCGCACACCTTGGCCTGCCAGCTCGCGTACTCGCTGAATCTCGTTCCTGGTAGCGCGCAGACGGATGGTGAGGGCATCGAGAGGCCTTGGGCGCATATTGGTGCGGTTGCGGGCAGTACGCAGGAGATGGGGCCGGGCGCGAGAGAAGATGTACTGAGTTGTCATTGGGGAAATTGGAACTGGCAGAATAACCTCGGTAGATCTTCCGCGTCATCTTTTTCGGGAGCGGTAGCTGTCTCAGAAGATAGCGGACCGACTGCGAATCAGAACGGATCGCGCGAGGGAGGAATATGCAGCGCAGCTTGAAGGCTTCACGTCGTTTTCGATGTTGCAACAAGATAGGGTGCGTGCCTGGGGAGAGATAATTGAAAAGTTCGAGGCCGATCCCCAGCACGCCTGGAATCCTTACGAGCTCCCTGTCAGAGGTACGTACGCGTGGCTTCCGTTGCGGGGCGACGCTGATGTGGCCATTTGGCGGCACAGGTATAAGCGAGGCGCAAGTTCTTCTGCAGTTCGAGGAAGAGGATGCGGCGCGCGTTGCGAACGGCGTGCCAGGGATACATACCGTCAGTCCCGCGTCTTTCGTAGCTGCAGCGCTTGAGGTGGAAGACAAGCAGTAAGTGATTATGACTGAACGAGGAATTAGCACTCACCTGCATTATCAGACGTCGGGTATGAGTGCATGTCGAACTCAAGAAAAAAGGGACGACTGCGCAGAAGATCGACATCGTGGCTTTGCGGCGCGAGCTGGGGAAGAATGTCCGACGACTGCGCAAGCTACAGGCAACATATACGCCCGCTTCGATCGTGATGCTAAACACGCGTCCCATTCCGGCCGACAACGAAGAGGAGCTGCCGATTGAAGAAGAACCACTCTTCCTACCATCGGCGTTGACCGCAGAGCAACGGAGCGTGGAGCCAGTCAAAGGGCTCGCCGTCATCGAGGACGCATTGCGGGACGCGCAATGCTCGACAACGCTGCAGCTGCTGCACCGGCAGCTAAACGTCAAGGCGAGACTACTCAATTACAAGCGACTCCACGCCCGGCATCAAGGGCCAAACACGCGTGCGCGGACGACGGTCGAAAGAAACGAGATCAAGATACGACTCCATTCGGAGAAATACCAGATGGCGTGGGAGGCTAAACGACAGCTGGCAGGGGGGGATCTGGCGAAGGTGGGCTGGAGATTGTTGATGGCGGAGGACGTGCGCTGCATGGAGGACGCAGCAGAGCTGGCGCGAGGGGCGGATAAAAGGATGGCTCAGGAGGCCCGGCGTCGCGAGCGGGAGGCTGCGCTGCACGCAGCCGGGGAGCTGCTACCGCTGACTGAAGTAGAGCAGGCGGCAGAGAGCGAACGGGTGGCGCGGGGCGGCGAGAATGTCCGCGAAGTGTCTTGGATCTGGACGGTGGCAGGGACCGTGGGCTCAGACGCCGAGCTCGAAGATGGTATGTGTTTTGTTCGACTCGGTATGGGCATTTCTGACTCTGGCTTGCCGGCAGCTTTGCGGATCGAGTGGTCCAAGGCATATGCGCAGACACGGTGGTGGCGGGAGGAGCAGCGGTTACTCGGCGAGGAGACGCGCCGGCTTCCCGTGTTCTTGGAGTTTTGGGCAAGGCAGTGGGAAGACCGAGCGGCGGCGATACCCGTAGGTGAATGGGACGCTACCCACGCCGAAGGAGCGATGGCCTACGCGCTCAGACAGGCGGAAATGTTCCGGGATATTGTAGCCCGCGCCGAAATCACGAGGACAGAAGTAAAAATGGGCCGAGGGAAGCGCAGGATAAGAGTCGTGGAGGAGGATGATTTGATGGATGGCAGAGGGCGAGACGTGGAAAGTGAGGAAGAAGATGGTTGGGGAGAGGATGAGGAGGAGCTTGCGCAGGTGCGGGGAGACGTGTCGGACGACGAGTTCGTGCTGGGCGGGGGGCAGGATGATGATTGAGATGACGGGTGGATACAGGGGATACAGGAGGGTGAGTGGGATTTGTCCGGGACATGAATTTTTGAAGCTGGTTTGAGTTGTACGTACACAGAGCAGAAGAGCGCGGGCGCAACCACGACGAGGGCGAGGCGCTGGCCACTATGAAGACAAGCGTGGGACGGGGGGCGGCAGCACCGATGGCGCATCCAAACGCGCACCAGCACCGGTTACGTGCGCGCGGGTCCAGTCCAGGAAGTGGTGACTCCACGGAGAGTCTCCATCGGCTGGGTGGCGTAACAGTATCGCGCCGCCGATCTATACACGGATCAGATTTCTTCCAGTGGAGGTTCCTCGTTCGAGTCGAGGCCTGGCCTTTTTCGCCTCTTTGATCGGCATTTTTCTTCGGGCGCTACGAAAATTTTCGGAGGGGTGGGTGGGGTGGGACCGGAACAGCGGTCCCGAGACCGGGCAGGGTGGGCGGGAGGTGGGTGGGAGGTGGGCCCGCCGTTAGCCGCCTCCCCGCCCGCCACCCGACAGGCGGGGTGCGCGGCGCGGAACAGCGAGCGGCAAGGGCGCGCGACGGCAGGAACACAGCACACGGCCGTCCCAACACCGGGGACGATATGTGGGAGGTGGGCCCGCCGTTTTCTGCCTCCCCGCCCGCTGCGCGCCCCGCCACCCCGTTTGTTGCCGACGGGTGGGGCGCGAGCTGCGGAACAGCGAGCGGCGAGGGCGCGGGACGACAGGAGCGCGGCGCACGGCCGTCCCACGGTATGTGAGGGGTGGGCCCGCCGTTTGCCGCCTCCCCGCCCGCTGCACGCCCCGCAACCCCAATTTTTGCCGATGGGTGGGGCGCGAGCCACGGAACAGCGAGCGGCGAGGGCGCGGGACGGCAGGAACGCGGCGCACGGCCGTCCCACGGTGTGTGGGGGGTGGGCCCACCGTTTGCCGCCTCCCCGCCCGCTGCGCGGCCCGCTACCCAACAGGCGGGGCGCGCTGCACGGAACAACGAGCGGCGAGGGCGCGGGACGGCGGGAACGCGGCGCACGGCCGTCCCGACACCGGGGACGGTGTGTGGGGGGTGGGCCCGCCGTTTGCCGCCTCCCCGCCTGCTGCGCGCCCCGCAACCCCGATTTTTGCCGACGGGCGGGGTGCGCGGCGCGGAACAGCGAGCGGCGAGGGCGCGGGACGACGGGAACGCGGTGCACGGCCGTCCCGACACCGGGGACGGTGTGTGGGGGGTGGGCCCGCTGTTTGCCGCCTCCCCGCCCACTGCGTGCCCTGCCACCCCGATTTTTGCCGACGGGCAGGGCGCGCGGTACAGAACAGCGAGCGGCGAGGGCGCACGGCGGTGGGGCGCGGCGCACATCCCTCCCGACGTCGGGGCCGCTGTGTGGGACGTGGGGGACCGTTTCCCGCCTGCCCGCCCGCTGCGCGAGCACGTGGCCCCGACCCAAGCAAGGCAACCAGCGCACGGCGCGCCCCCTCACCCACGCGGGTGCTCCCCAAGCGCATCCGCATCCGGTGGCCCAGGCACGGCACGCCCCGACCTAACTGTGCTGCCGTGAGCTCGGCGCGCCCCAGACGCGAGCGCACCAGCGCGCCCCCGACCCGAGCGAGCCAGCGCGCCAAGTGCGCCCCAGTCATCCCGCCCCGAGCGCGTCCCAGTCAGCACGCCCGGAGCACACGCGCCAACGCGGCCCCCAGCAGCACCCCACCCCCGGCGGCGCCCTCGGCATGCCCCCGACGCGAGCGGGCCAGCGCCCCAAGCGCCCCAGCGGCGCCCCCAGGCACGCGCATTTTGTTCCGGGAAGGGCCTAGCGGATCAGTAGAGGGGAAAGAAAATGGGAACATACCTGCGCGTGGGGGCCGCCCAGCAGGCGCGCGGAACGGCGTGCATCGGGAGAAGCAGGTGGTATGCGGGAAAACACGGGTAGATATATTTTCGGCCGTTTCCGTAATAATGGATGCTGTTTTCCAAGATGCCGGGGCTCTCATACTTGATGTGGTGGACGGCGCAGACGGCGTAAATAAATTTCAGGCTCCGCCGCGGGCGCCGTGATGCCGCGCAAGAGCCCCAAGAGCAAACACGGCCCATTTGGAGCCATATAAGGTCTGCCGCGCTTTATCGCGATAGACCCGCCAGCAATTTCCGGGCTATTTCGCGAACCAGTGGCCTACTCAGGTGCGACCATCTCAACAATCCTACACATCATCTTTGCATTGCCCTCAGCCCAGGCAGCATAATCTGGATTTACGATCTCGATGTCTATCATCCCGGTGCCGGGCGATAATGCTGGGCTCTGGGTGGTTATTGTTTTCGGGACAGGTGGCTCGTCGATGTACTTCCAGCGGCCTTCATCCTGGAACTTGTTCTTGGCTTTGAACGAGAAAGTTTTCCAGTTTTTATTGTCAAGCAAATTGAAGGCATAGCGTGTCGTGCTGGAAACGTCTCGGGTGCCCATAACCTGTTGTAGGTCAAGAGTTCAGGGTTCTGTAACCGTTCTCTTCAGACTAAATAATATTAGGATAATATACTACGCACCTGTGTTATATACCATGCCAGAATGGACCTAGAACGAGATGGAAGATGGGCCGGAGGTTCCGGAGGCTCCGGTTAGGACCGGAGGTACCGGAAGGCCCGGAGGAGGTCCGGTGCAGTATAAAGGAAGGATAGCAACACCACAGGGGATTAAGGGTGAGCTAATGCCTTGACTGACAGATAACCGGAAGTCGAGGTACCGGAGGTGATAAGGAGGTACGAAGACGACTCAGATCAAGAGGAAGAACCAGGCAACGATTAACGTTAATAATCAAACTGAAGTACATGAAGTAAAGACGTAGTATTTAAATGGAATACCTAATTGTATTCCCAAATAGGAAGGAGAGTGGTTCATGACAATAAGACTTGTCATGAGGACTGATGATAAGTTGTAAGACAATTAAAAGGAAGATGAGAAGACGGATAAACAGGAAACGCTCAGTAAGCCTTCATTGCGTAAAAACCCGATGCTTCCGGAAGGTCCGGAGGCTCCGGGATATGACCGGAGCTCCGGAACCTACCGGAGCGACCGGAAGGTCGACGGGAGGCTCTGGGATGTTGCATGGATATAACAGTATCCCCCTCTTAGGTTCCTCTCCCATGAGGAACCCAAGAGATGACGAGTTGGTCGAACAATGAAGGAGCGTGGGAAAATAAACAAGATCAAAAAGTCACGTGCTGTTGGTTTTGACTCAGACGTTTCTTTCTTTTCTACCACCACCACCTCCGGTCACCAAACACACACCACAATGCAACACGGCGGAAGCGACAACGGCGGGCGCGATGGAGACTCGGAGGACAACCGCGGCGACGCCGGCAAGGGGAAGGCTCGCGCGATGACGTCGGAGCTGCGCGACGAGGCAACGCAGCGCTTCTACGAGGAGCGCAAGGAGCGCCGGGCTCGCCTTATCTCCGCCTACGAGGAACAGGCGCAGGAGGCCGCGCAACGGGCGGAGGTCACGAACGAGGAAGCAGCACGAGCTCTCCAGCTCGTGCACGACTTGGAGCTCCTCGATGCGGAGGCTCCGGAGTTCGATGACGTGCCCGTCATCGAAACGTTGAAGTCGGCGTCCCCGGAGCGCGCGGAAGGTCCGGGAGGTGAGGAGGAGAATGACGATGACTTGAATGACGAGGTGGATAGTGATGTGGAGCAGGAGGGAGACAATGGTGCGTCGCAGTTAAACCGGAGGTTCCGGTACTAACCCAATTTTTTTCTCCTAGCCTGCGACTCCTGCCGGAAGAGCGGGGAGGTGTGCGTGGTCGAGGCGGGACGCACCGCCTGTCGCCGGTGCCGTGCGAAGCACATCCAGTGCAGTCGCGCGCGGCCCCTCGGACCGCCTCGCGTCAACAAGCGACGTGCGGCACAGGAGGCTCTTCGCCAAGGGTCCGCACCGATTGCGGGGCCCTCGCAGACGCGCTGGAACCCCCGAACGGAGCGGGGGGACCGGAGCGACCGCGAGGTGCGCGATCGCACGCAGAAGGAGCGGGAACGGAGGGCCCGGAAGGCGGAGGGCAAGGAAAGTGTGCGAGAGAAGCTCCGGGAGCTCGATACCCACGTCGGATACCTCGGGGAGCAGGTGGGGCGCAATATGTTGCGCTATAAGCTGGCATACCGGGCGTGCCAGCTTATCCTTCAGACCCTTGCGGCGCCGGAGAGTGGTTGGGAGGTACCGCCCGGTGTTGAGCGGATGCTCCGTTGGATGGTGGCGGACATGGAGGCTTCCAAATGGGATTTCTCCCTCGCGGAGCAGGCGGAGCTCGACCTGGTCGCCGAGGAGCCAGAGGAGGACGAAGACGCGCCCCCAGCGAAGCGCCGGAGGCTGATGAAGCGCGGGGGCCCCGAGGTGGAGAAGAAGGAGGTGGAACCCGTCGAGTCGGAGGACTCGGAGGCGGAACCGGAGGCTCCGGTTGCGCCCCGAGCCCGTTCCGAATCCTGGCCGGAGGATTTCCGGTCCTCGGACGGCGGGGAGGACATGAGGATGGAGGTGGACGCGCCTGGGGCGCTGAAGGGGCCGGAAGGGCCCGATGAACACACCACGGGCCAGGCGGAGGCGAGGACCATCACGGTCCCAACCTTCAAGCCTGATCCCGAGCCGGTGCCGCCTCCGCCTCCCACTCCGCCGCCTGTACCGGAGGCTCCGGTACAGGTGAAGAGGGAGTCGGAGGAGCGGGGTTTCCAGACCTTGGTGCTCCAACCGGGAGCGCCAGCGGGATTCCACGAGGAAGGCGGGGTGTTTGTCCTGGATGACGAGGACGAGGAGATGGGGGAGCCGGAGGCTCCGGGAGAAAAGCCGGAGGCGTCCGGAGGTGAAGACGAGGGTCCAAAGTGACCAATGGACAATATAAAGACATTTGTAGATAATGAGTGTTTTGTATTTGTGGATTCGGATGAAATCTTTTCTTGATTTGATTTTATGTAAAACTTGAGTGAAATGGGAAGGATCCGGAGGTTCCGGTTAATCACCGGAGGGTCCGGAGGAGGAATGGTGAGGATTCCGATGTGACGGAATAGAAAGGCAACGTTCCGGAGCAGTTCCGGAACCGGAACGCATCGTATATGATACGGGTTGGGTTCCACTGTAGGAACTGTTGCATTCAAAGAATGAATAATTGGAGAATTGATGAATGATTGGAATATTGATGAATGATAAGAGGAGTGTTATTCCGTTGATTGGAAAAGTGACCAAATCAAGATGTCGATTGGTCCACTCCTTCTGTCGATAAGTGACCAGAGTAATTTCCGGACACGAACCGAAAATGAATTGGCAAAGGAGTGTGATGCCGGAAGTGAACCGGAAGAATTCGGAAGCGATCCGAAAGGAAACCGGAAAG